TGGGAGATACTCCACCAGGTGAAGTGTGTAAGGGGCTCGGCAGGGAGCTGTGTCGTGGGAGATACTCCACCAGGTGAAGTGTGTAGGCTCAGCAGGGAGCTGTGTCATGGGAGATACTCCACCAGGTGAAGCGTGTAGGCTCGGTAGGGAGCCTTTGTTGTAGGAGATTCTCCACCAGGTGAAGCGTGTAGGGGCTCAGCAGGGAGCCTTGGCACATGGTGAGTCCTTGATGGGGAAGGCTTTTGGTTTGGAGAAGTGGGCTGCACAAGGCCATCAGTCTGCCATGCTGTGCCAACTCCAGTGTTGAGAAGGATGAAGCCAGAGGGTCAGGGAGGTCTCACCTACCAAGCTCCCACCTGGGCTGGCAGCTCCTCACACCCCGCAAGCCATCAGAACACAGGTCCTTGAAGGCACACCTCACTCTGGAGCCGGACAGGACCACGCCTCCTGTGCCCCGTAGCTTCACTGCAACAGAGGAGCTTCTTGGAGGCCCAGAGGCTCAGAGGACATGCCCACTTCCAGGCACGTGGTAGCTTTGCCCAAAAAGCAGTAGCTTCAACCCCAACAACCCACCTCTGTGAAGATGGGCAGAGATGGCTCTGGGGCTGGAGGTCGAGCTCCGCTTAAAGCCGCCGGCTCCTCAAGGACCAGGAGTGTAAGTTGGGCCTCCCTGGCTGAGGACCTGGCCAGGACCTGGTCATGGGGCCCTCCCATTTCCCCCTCCCCTTGCAAGGAGGAGCAGGCCAGAACCTGGAGGTAAGTTTGCAGACAACTTTTTTGTGAGTAGTTTATGTTTGTTTTGAGATAAGTCACCATTTCCACTACTTTAAAGTGTATACCCCATTGGCTCTTGGTGTTTTCACAATTACTGTCTAGTTCCAGAACAGTTTTTTACCCCAAAGGGAAACCCCATGCATTAGCAATCACTCCCTGTTCCCCTTCCCCCAGACCCTGGCACCCACCTCAGGCTTTCTGTCCCTGGACTGGCCTGCTCTAGGCACCGTGCAGGAGTAGGATTGCTGTGCTGTCTTTATGACTGGCTCCTTCTCTTGGCTTCATGTTCTCAGGATGCACCTACATGGTGCCACGTGTCAGAACCTTACTCTTGATTACGGCTGAGTCATCGTCCATCATATGGATCAGGATAAACATTTGGTTGATCTTGGTGGATATTCGGGCAGTTTCCATTCAGGGCTGTCGTGAGTAATGCTGCATTGGGCACTGATGTACACGTTTTTGTGTAAACATATGTTTTCATTTGTCTTGGGTACACAGGAGTAGAATTTCTGGGTCATATGGCAGTCCTGTGTTTAACTTTCTGAGAAACCACCAGGCTTTCCATAGCATCTGTATCAGTTTACATTCCCACCACCAATGCCCAAGGGTTCCAGGTTCCTCACATCCTCGCCACCACTTGTTACTGTCTGCCCTTTAGATTCTAGCCATTCCATGGAATAGAAACTGATATTTCCACTGGGCACAGTGGACATGCCTGTAAGCCCAGCACTTTGGAAGGCTGAGGCAGGAGGATCACTTGAGCCCAGGAGTCTGAGATCAGCCTGGGCAACATAGTGAGACCTCATCTCCACAAAAAATTTAAAAAATAACCAGGCATGGTGATGCGCTCCTGTAATCCCAGGAACTCGGGAGGTTGAGATGAGAGGATCACTTAAGCCCAGGAGGTAGAGGCGGCAGTGAGCCGTGATCATGCCACTGCATTCAGCCTGGGTGACAATGAGACCCTGCCTCAAAAAAAAAAAGTGCTATTTCATTGTGGGTTTGATTTGCATTTCTTGATGGCTGATGATGGTGGGCACCTTCTCAGGTCTCAGTAACCATTTGTATGTGTATGTCCTCTTGAGCATCTGTATCCTTTGCCCATTTTTAAAATTGGGTTGTCGTCTTGTTGAGTTCCAGAAGTTCCTGTATGTTCTGAACCCTAGGTATTGATCGCTTCTGTAGTTGACAAATATTTTCTCCTGTGGGTTCTTTAGTTTCTTGATAGTGTCCTTTGATGAATGAAAGTTTTTAAAATTGATGAAGTCCATTAATCTGTTTTGTTGCTTATGCTTTTGATGTCATATTTACGAAGCCATTGACTAATTCAAGGCCATGAAGATTTACACCTGCATTTCCTTCTGAGGAATTTATAGTTTGAGTGCTTACCCTTAAGTCTTTGATCCATTTTGACTTAAATTTGTGTTTGGTGTAAGGGAGCAGGTTCCATGTCATGCCTGTGAATAGCCAGTTGTCCCAGACCATGTTGTGGTGTTGTTGAGACAGGGTCTCGCGGTTGCCAGGCTGGAGTGCAGGGGTGTGATCACGGCTCACTGCAGCCTCAACCTCCTGGGCTCAAGCCATCCTCCTGACTCAGCCTCCAGAGTAGCTGGGACTACAAGCATGCACCACCACGCCTGGCTAATTTTTAAAGATTTTTTTGTAGGGACAGGGTCTCACCATGTTACCCAGGCTGGTCTCCAACTCCTGGACTTAAGCATTCCTCCCGCCTCAGCCTCCCAGAGTGCCGAGATCACAGGCGTGAGCCACCGCGCCTGGCCTACCTTTGCTTCTTCCTTTCAATCCGAATGGCTTTTATTTCTTTTTCTTACGTGATTGCTGTGGCTGGACCTGCAGCACTTTGTTGAATGCAGGTGGTGAGAGCCCATATCCTTGTGTTGTTCCTGATCGTGAAAACCTTTTCAGTCTTCCACCACTAGATGTGACGTGAGCTGTTCGATTTTCAAGGATGCTGTTTATCCAGCTGAAGAAGTGCCCTTCAAGTCCTAATTTATTAAGTGTTTTTATGGTTAAAGGGTACTGGATTTTGTCAAATGCTTTTCTGGCCCTTATTGAAATGCACATGTGTTCTGTATTAATGTGAGGTATTATGTGGATTGATTTTCAGACATTCAGCCACTTTCCATTTCTGGAATAAATCCAACTTGGTCCGTGGTGTATGACGCATTTACTCTGCCGCTGAATGTGATCTGCTTATATTTTGGTGCGATTTTTACACCTGTATTTATAAGGGATATTGGTTTGTTGTTTTCTTTTTTCTTTCTTTTCTTTTTTTTTTTTTGAGATGGACTCTTGCTCTGTCACCCCCTCTGGAGTGCAGTGGCGTGATTTTGGCTCACTGCAACCTCCACCTCCTGGGTTCAAGGAATCCCCTGCCTCAGCCTCCTCAGTAGCTGGGATTACTGAGCTGGGTACCCACCACCACACCCAGCTAATTTTTGTATTTTTAGTAGAGATAGGATTTCACCATCTTGGCCAGGCTGGTCTTGAACTTCTGACCTCGTGATCCACCCGCCTTGGCCTCCCAAAGTCCTGGGATTACAGGCATGAGTCACTGTGCCTGACCAGTCTGTCGTTTTCTTATAATGTCTTCCTCTGGTTTCGATATCAGGATAATATTGGCCTCATGGATTGGGTTAGGAAGTGTTCCCTCTGCCATTTTTCTGGAAGAGGGAGATTGGTGTTAATTCTTGTTAGAAACTTTGGTAGAATTTGCCAGTGAGCCTATCTGGTCTTCGTCTTTGGGAGGGTTTCGACTGCGGATTCAATCTCTGTGTTTGTTGTAGATTGTTTGGATTTTCTGTCCTGAGTCAGTGGCCACCTTGTGTGCTTCTTGGAGTTTTTCCATGTTATCTAATCTGTTATACCGTTGTTCATGGCATGTTCTGGTGTGGGTGAGGTCTCTAAGAACGACCCGGCCTTCACTACTGCTCTTAGTCACTGACGTCCTCTTTTTTCCTCGAGCCGTCTGGCTGTGCGTGGTTTTGGGAGAGTCCTCGTTGACTGCAGATGCTGAGCGGTGACCTGGCTGTGAGAGGGGACGGCGAGTGCAGGGCCCCTGCTGAGGGCTCACTTAAGCCCAAGATTCAGAGGGTCGGGGGCTCCAACCACATCTGCCTGCATGCCTTTCCCAGGCTCTCCCCACGCAGACAGACAGCACCCCCTCCCCAAAGACCTGGCAGTCCCTGGGGGAGCAGGTTTCAGAAGGAGGAGAGGAGGACAGCAGAGGTGGTGGAGAACTCACGGGTGGCGGTTCCAGGCCTCTCAGGAAGCTTGGGGTTAAGCGGGGGTGGGAGCTGAAGTGAAAGGGGAACCGGTAGTCCATGTGGGGTGCAGGTGTGTGCCAGGGCCCCCAGCCCCGCCTATGGCCACATCGACCGAATGAGGAGAGGCTGGCGTGGCAGCAGCAAACCTGAGTGTGTGCCCATCTCTGT